GGTGGTTATTCATGTGGTCACTGCAGGTGGTTATTCTACGTGGTCATTGCAGGTGGTTATTCTACGTGTGACAGCAGGTGGTTATTCCACGTGGTCACTGCAGGTGGTTATTCCATGTGGTCACTGCAGGTGGTTATTCCATGTGGTCACTGCAGGTGGTTATTCCACGTGGTGACAGCAGGTGGTTATTCCACGTGGTCACTGCAGGTGGTTATTCCACGTGGTCACAGCAGGTGGTTATTCCATGTGGTCACTGCAGGTGGTTATTCCACGTGGTCACTGCAGGTGGTTATTCCACGTGGTCACTGCAGGTGGTTATTCTACGTGGTCACTGTAGGTGGTTATTCTACGTGGTGACAGCAGGTGGTTATTCCACGTGGTCACTGCAGGTGGTTATTCCATGTGGTCACTGCAGGTGGTTATTCTACGTGGTCACTCTACATGGTCGCTGCAGGTGGTTATTCTACGTGGTGACTGCAGGTGGTTATTCCACGTGGTGACTGCAGGTGGTTATTCCATGTGGTCACTGCAGGTGGTTATTCCACGTGGTCACTGCAGGTGGTTATTCCACGTGGTCACTCTACGTGGTCGCTGCAGGTGGTTATTCTACGTGGTCACTCTACGTGGTCGCTGCAGGTGGTTATTCTACGTGGTCACTGCAGGTGGTTATTCTACGTGGTCGCTGCAGGTGGTTATTCCACGTGGTCACTGCAGGTGGTTATTCCACGTGGTCACTGCAGGTGGTTATTCCACGTGGTCACTGCAGGTGGTTATTCTACGTGGTCACTCTACATGGTGACTGCAGGTGGTTATTCCACGTGGTCATTGCAGGTGGTTATTCCATGTGGTCACTGCAGGTGGTTATTCTACATGGTCACTCTACGTGGTCATTGCAGGTGGTTATTCTACGTGGTGACAGCAGGTGGTTATTCCACGTGGTCACTGCAGGTGGTTATTCCATGTGGTCACTGCAGGTGGTTATTCTACGTGGTCATTGCAGGTGGTTATTCTACGTGGTCGCTGCAGGTGGTTATTCTACGTGGTGACAGCAGGTGGTTATTCCACGTGGTCACTGCAGGTGGTTATTCCATGTGGTCACTGCAGGTGGTTATTCCATGTGGTCACTGCAGGTGGTTATTCCATGTGGTCACTGCAGGTGGTTATTCTACGTGGTCATTGCAGGTGGTTATTCTACGTGGTGACAGCAGGTGGTTATTCCACGTGGTCACTGCAGGTGGTTATTCCATGTGGTCACTGCAGGTGGTTATTCCACGTGGTGACAGCAGGTGGTTATTCCACGTGGTCACTGCAGGTGGTTATTCCACGTGGTCACAGCAGGTGGTTATTCCACGTGGTCACTGCAGGTGGTTATTCTACGTGGTCACTCTACGTGGTCGCTGCAGGTGGTTATTCTACGTGGTCACTGCAGGTGGTTATTCTACGTGGTCGCTGCAGGTGGATATTCCACGTGGTCACTGCAGGTGGTTATTCCACGTGGTCACTGCAGGTGGTTATTCCACGTGGTCACTGCAGGTGGTTATTCTACGTGGTCACTCTACATGGTGACTGCAGGTGGTTATTCCACGTGGTCATTGCAGGTGGTTATTCCATGTGGTCACTGCAGGTGGTTATTCTACATGGTCACTCTACGTGGTCATTGCAGGTGGTTATTCTACGTGGTGACAGCAGGTGGTTATTCCACGTGGTCACTGCAGGTGGTTATTCCATGTGGTCACTGCAGGTGGTTATTCTACGTGGTCATTGCAGGTGGTTATTCTACGTGGTCGCTGCAGGTGGTTATTCTACGTGGTGACAGCAGGTGGTTATTCCACGTGGTCACTGCAGGTGGTTATTCCATGTGGTCACTGCAGGTGGTTATTCCATGTGGTCACTGCAGGTGGTTATTCCATGTGGTCACTGCAGGTGGTTATTCTACGTGGTCATTGCAGGTGGTTATTCTACGTGGTGACAGCAGGTGGTTATTCCACGTGGTCACTGCAGGTGGTTATTCCATGTGGTCACTGCAGGTGGTTATTCCACGTGGTGACAGCAGGTGGTTATTCCACGTGGTCACTGCAGGTGGTTATTCCACGTGGTCACAGCAGGTGGTTATTCCACGTGGTCACTGCAGGTGGTTATTCTACGTGGTCACTCTACGTGGTCGCTGCAGGTGGTTATTCTACGTGGTCACTGCAGGTGGTTATTCTACGTGGTCGCTGCAGGTGGATATTCCACGTGGTCATTGCAGGTGGTAATTCTACGTGGTGACTGCAGGTGGTTATTCCACGTGGTCATTGCAGGTGGTTATTCTACGTGGTCATTGCAGGTGGTTATTCTACGTGGTCACTCTACGTGGTCACTGCAGGTGGTTATTCCACGTGGTCATTGCAGGTGGTTATTCTACATGGTCACTCTACGTGGTCATTGCAGGTGGCAATTCTACGTGGTGACTGCAGGTGGTTATTCCACGTGGTCATTGCAGGTGGTTATTCTACGTGGTCATTGCAGGTGGTTATTCTACGTGGTCACTCTACGTGGTGACTGCAGGTGGTTATTCCACGTGGTCATTGCAGGTGGTTATTCTACATGGTCACTCTACGTGGTCATTGCAGGTGGTTATTCTACGTGGTGACAGCAGGTGGTTATTCCACGTGGTCACTGCAGGTGGTTATTCCATGTGGTCACTGCAGGTGGTTATTCTACGTGGTCATTGCAGGTGGTTATTCTACGTGGTCGCTGCAGGTGGTTATTCTACGTGGTGACAGCAGGTGGTTATTCCACGTGGTCACTGCAGGTGGTTATTCCATGTGGTCACTGCAGGTGGTTATTCCATGTGGTCACTGCAGGTGGTTATTCCATGTGGTCACTGCAGGTGGTTATTCTACGTGGTCATTGCAGGTGGTTATTCTACGTGGTGACAGCAGGTGGTTATTCCACGTGGTCACTGCAGGTGGTTATTCCATGTGGTCACTGCAGGTGGTTATTCCATGTGGTCACTGCAGGTGGTTATTCCACGTGGTGACAGCAGGTGGTTATTCCACGTGGTCACTGCAGGTGGTTATTCCACGTGGTCACAGCAGGTGGTTATTCCATGTGGTCACTGCAGGTGGTTATTCCACGTGGTCACTGCAGGTGGTTATTCCACGTGGTCACTGCAGGTGGTTATTCTACGTGGTCACTGTAGGTGGTTATTCTACGTGGTGACAGCAGGTGGTTATTCCACGTGGTCACTGCAGGTGGTTATTCCACGTGGTCACTGCAGGTGGTTATTCTACGTGGTCACTCTACATGGTCGCTGCAGGTGGTTATTCTACGTGGTGACTGCAGGTGGTTATTCCACGTGGTGACTGCAGGTGGTTATTCCATGTGGTCACTGCAGGTGGTTATTCCACGTGGTCACTGCAGGTGGTTATTCCACGTGGTCACTCTACGTGGTCGCTGCAGGTGGTTATTCTACGTGGTCACTCTACGTGGTCGCTGCAGGTGGTTATTCTACGTGGTCACTGCAGGTGGTTATTCTACGTGGTCGCTGCAGGTGGATATTCCACGTGGTCACTGCAGGTGGTTATTCCACGTGGTCACTGCAGGTGGTTATTCCACGTGGTCACTGCAGGTGGTTATTCTACGTGGTCACTCTACATGGTGACTGCAGGTGGTTATTCCACGTGGTCATTGCAGGTGGTTATTCTACATGGTCACTCTACGTGGTCATTGCAGGTGGTTATTCTCCGTGGTGACAGCAGGTGGTTATTCCACGTGGTCACTGCAGGTGGTTATTCCATGTGGTCACTGCAGGTGGTTATTCTACGTGGTCATTGCAGGTGGTTATTCTACGTGGTCGCTGCAGGTGGTTATTCTACGTGGTGACAGCAGGTGGTTATTCCACGTGGTCACTGCAGGTGGTTATTCCACGTGGTCACTGCAGGTGGTTATTCCATGTGGTCACTGCAGGTGGTTATTCCACGTGGTCACTGCAGGTGGTTATTCCACGTGGTCACTGCAGGTGGTTATTCCACGTGGTCACTGCAGGTGGTTATTCTACGTGGTCACTCTACATGGTCGCTGCAGGTGGTTATTCTACGTGGTGACTGCAGGTGGTTATTCCACGTGGTGACTGCAGGTGGTTATTCCACGTGGTCACTGCAGGTGGTTATTCCACGTGGTCACTGCAGGTGGTTATTCCACGTGGTCACTCTACGTGGTCGCTGCAGGTGGTTATTCTACGTGGTCACTCTACGTGGTCGCTGCAGGTGGTTATTCTACGTGGTCACTGCAGGTGGTTATTCTACGTGGTCGCTGCAGGTGGATATTCCACGTGGTCACTGCAGGTGGTTATTCCACGTGGTCACTGCAGGTGGTTATTCCACGTGGTCACTGCAGGTGGTTATTCTACGTGGTCACTCTACATGGTCGCTGCAGGTGGTTATTCTACGTGGTGACTGCAGGTGGTTATTCCACGTGGTGACTGCAGGTGGTTATTCCATGTGGTCACTGCAGGTGGTTATTCCACGTGGTCACTGCAGGTGGTTATTCCACGTGGTCACTGCAGGTGGTTATTCCACGTGGTCCCTTTGTAAACGTCAAACAGAAAACAGGTAGTTACCTGACCCGGTTGTTGCAGAACTTGGTGAACTGCGGCTGATTCAGGTGGATCAGTCGGGCGTCTTCTTGGTCGGCAAAGGAAGTCTTCTCCGTCATGTCCTCCGTCTTCTCGTATCCTGCGGAACGAGAGAAAAAGACGACATGTCAGAAACTTAACGGTCACATGAAAAGAGATGTGACATGTATGAGACGCTCTCTGAGAGAGCGAGCAGGGAGACAGGGAGGCGTCTGATTGGTTCATCAGATTGGTACCTCGTGGCAGACATTGGTTGAAGTTTTTACAGACTTACAAACTGATACAGATGATGGATTTTCTTTGTTCCTTTTTCAGAGAACATGAGTTATTAATGTCTGTCAGGACCTAAAGACAATTTCAAACAAAATCTACACAAAGTGGATCTTATCTTGATGGTTTCTGAGCTCACTGCTGACACCAAACAGCCGCTCTCTCCCTCATCCTCCAACTTATCACACCTTTATAACACCATCACCATGACAACCACATTTTACGGAGGACCACACACTCCTTCTTTGAGCGAGGGCTGAGAGTTATAACTTCTGCCTACGTTGGAGCGACCTCAGCTGGTGTAACACCTTACATGTTCGTAGCGCTTAAACTCAAAGTGACCTTCAAACAAGGCCGCAGCATGGCGCAACACGGTACAGATCATCTTCAAGCTGTCACAAGACAAACGTCAATCTTCTCTGATTCTGAACACCCGAGTGTTACGATTTCAAAAACAATCCAAAGCATCCAGTAAATGTTTGTTTACTCTGATTACATGAAGACACGTTTCAAAGCTCTGAAAATGTTCCTGGAAAATGTGCTGCGATTAGAGCTGGCGTTTCCTGCCAGAGTCACATCCTGCTGGCCAGAGCGGTTTGGACTTATCGGTGTGGTCAGCTGAGCGGTGACGGAAGGATTGTACTTTTTATATATTTATTTTACTCTCACTGTTCAGCCTACAAACCGACACCCAGTCCCAACAAACTTCTCACAGAGGTCACTTCTACATGGAGCACCTCACTCTGAGGAGGGGGGGGGGCATCAGCTGCTGAGAGCAAATAAAAACTCTCTCCACGTCTCGATAACACTCTTTGTCTCTGCGTCTCTGGAAGAGGCAGCTCTGCTCTGCTCCCACCGAGTTCAGCCCAGTGGGATGGCGCTTTGTTGGCTGAGAAAACACCAAAGAGCGGTTTGCAGGCTGCACAGAAGAACAGCGTGCAACACATTCTGCAGTTACTTTACAAACCACACAACAAATATTTGACTTGTTCCGATGGCAGGAGGCTTTTGTGTGCAGCCTACCTCCCCCCCTGTAGGCACAGAAACACCTGTTACCTGAGTTGACCTGCAAGCTTTTCCATGAGGCAGGTGCAGCGTTGTGAATACAGCAGGAAGTGGGGAAGACGAGATCAAACATTACTGGCTTACTGCAGAGCATGATGGGAAAGTATTGATGACAAACAAGATAAAAGATGTTTCTGCCTTTGCAACCTTGCTTGCTCGGAGAAGGATCTTATTGGGCTGGAAATGGAAACATCCCCCCAAAGCTTCAGCTTGGATGAGTGACCTGATGCTTTTCCTTAAATTGGAAAAGATCAAGTTTTCTATTAGAGGTTCAACCCAAACATTTCATTCAACATGGGACCCTCTAGTTCTTTATTTTGAAAGGCTTAAGACCCTTCCCCAAAATTAAAATTAAAATAAGCAAGAAATAGCATCTTGTCCTTTATGAATGGTCCTCCCCAGAGACTGCTCATCGAGCACTTAACGTCCTAGAATGTAGTAATGTATAAACAATATGAATAATATGATCTCAGGTAAATTAACTTATGTGATTATCCACAACAGTTACATATTTAAACCTTTTTCTGTATATATTTTTCTTCTTTTTCGTTGTGAAAGGTTCATTTGCATTTAATTATTTATTCATTTTAATTTATTTTCTTTTTTCTCTTTACTTATTATTATCATTATTTTTTGCTTTGTTTTGTTTGTATTAAATAGTACTATCATTCCCTGTACAGTTACAACCTTACATATAGACTTTGTATTGGCAGCATGAGGGTGGGGGGGAGAAGAAAAAAGAAAAGAGAAAAGAAAGGGAAATGCTTGTTGTCAAAATTTTTATGTCCAATGCTTTTTTTGTATTTTCTTTTTCTTTTTTCTTAAATAAAAAAATGCATCAAAAAAAAAAGATGGGAAAGTAAACACTAAAGCAGGCTTTCCCAACCCAACGTGGGGTCGCATCGAATTAGTATTTTCTGATTCATAAAAAAGATATTGTTTATTAAAATATATTAAAGGCTGCAGAGTCTGTCATCCTCCTCCCCGCCTTTCTTCCTCTTCACAATAATAAACAGGAAAAGATTAACTCTAACATTAATGTTTACTGGAACATAAGAGAACAACTCGGACATGATTGAAAACAAATGAGTGATGTCACGGGTCAAAGGGGGGTCACTGGGAACCACTGGGCTAACCAGATGGATCAATGAGGGGTCGGAACATTTAGAAAAACAGAATGATGAATCCATAATAACTTCCCACCTGAGAGCCAGGTGAGCTCCTGGTTCATGTTCAGACGTTAAGAAAACAAACATTCCTTAAAGTGGTGTGAAGCTGAGATATGTGGAGAAACCAGCAGCTCTGACTCTGATGAGAAATGATTAGAAGGAAAACAACATTCCTGAGGTTCACATTTCACTTTCCTCGTGTTCATATTGATATGTCTAAATTAGCACTGCCAGCAACGCACTACAGTAAACTCCAGTCAACAGTATTCCTGCACTCTCGGGTTGCATGTGATCCGCTTCCCCTAGCACGCTGTAGTGCTGGTGTTTGTGAGGTAAGGCCAGGCTAAGCTTAGCATCCACAACTACAGATAAACTTAGATGTTTAAAAAAGGAAAGGAGAGGCATTCTGAGGAAGGAGGGGGGGGAGGGAAGCTCAGAGCTGCTTGAAACATCAACAACAACAAAACGCAGTGTCATGAGGAAGTGTAACCAGAGCTCCAGCAGGATATGCCCCAGTTACAGACCGCCCTCTCCTCCCCGCCTGCATGCAGCATTTCTTCTGTGTCATGTCAAGTGAAGAGGAAACAAAGAAGAAGGCTGACACGCTCTTTAAAGTCACACTGTCAACTTCCTCTGCTCTCAAACCTTGACTCTGACATTACAGCTAATGCTATTCTAATGATCCACTTAACTTAGCACACAGGCTAACTCCAAACTGTCCTCCTTCCTACCCTCTTCTCCTCACAGTTTGTCTCCTTAGCTTGTGCTCCGAGCTAAAAATAACTCGCCCCTGTAGTCATTTGGTCACCAGGGGGAATCATGGGTTGGCTTTCCCCGCTCTGTTATGCAAGACGTCACAGCAGCATAGGTGGTTTATTGGATAAGCATGGGGGGGCAGAAGGGTGTGGATCCAGCAACTGGAGATTAGAAAGTGGTGCCTGCTGCTTAAGCAGGGTGACTTCCTACTGAGGAGCCTGAGATTATCACGTTTACTCCCACCACAGGGAGAGGTAAACAAATGATTCCTAGAAAGACGTTTGTGAGCACAGAGAGAAATAAATATGTCCAGAAAGCAGTAAAGAGGTTTTTCTGTTCTCCAGAATAGAATCAGCTTTGTCTGAAGTTTATCAGTCTGAGCGTCTTGTTGACGATCAGTCGAACATTTAGAGCACTGCATGTGTGAAAACAGCTTCAGAGAAACAGTTTTGCTTACTCATGTCAACAGGTGTTTACTCTTCTCTACTTAAAGGAATCTAAATTTGATCCTTTGAGAAAAATAAAAGGTGCTTCCAGTTCAGGCGAGGGTTTACAGAAACATAATGAACGAATGTAAAGACAAAGAATTAAAGGTACTTTAAAGGCAGGACTACAAAGTGGATCCATCTGACATCATTTCCTGTTGGGAGGGGTCAAACCTCAGCTCACCTGGTAACACCTGGAGGACAGGTGGGAGGTATGAAGCTAACAGCTCTGAGTAAAGCTGAGGGAAAGGACGATGACTCAGAGACATGCTGCCTCACTGGAACAGATAGATTTTTATCACTGGATAAAAAGTGATTTTTAAGGGACGCTCCTGCAGCCTTTGAGCCAAATCACCTGCCATGAATCACAGCGTCACAGCTTTGTGTCCTGCAGGGAGTTTCTCTGCTTGTTTCCCATCATGTCTCTGCTGCAGGTTGCCAAATGACTCGATATGATGCACCGTCAAGAGAAGCACTAAAACAGAGCCAGTGTTTCAGAAAACACTCGAGCCTCCTGACTGGATCTGATACCAAACAGAGACCTGATCCTGTACACAAAGGGACAAATCAGAATTTCAGAATCTTAAATGATCAAGAAACCAGAGTGTACGATGACGTGTGACACACTGCTGGAGACCAGACCAAGTGAGAAAGAGAAGTGGAGCAGGTTGAGCAGCTCATGGTGCGTCTCTGTGTGGTGAACGGGTCTGGCGGGCTCCTGTGTGCTGGTGTGCTGCAATGCACCAGTTGCACTTTGTACAGCTCATGCTGTTGCTCTTCATGCAGCAGCATCCACACAAACAGCTGATATAGAAGCTCACTGGTCGAACATACAGGTGTATAGGTTTGGACACAAACTTTTAGATTTTATACAGTAAAACGTCTATTTCCCAATATCACGAGATCCTGGAGCTGTGACGCTAAACAAAAGGTCTTCCTGGAATAAAAAGAGTTGTTTTGTTTCAGCTGCAGTGGAGCGGAGGAATATAACACATTTGATAGATTTAAACCTAGAATAACACCAGAAGACATGTAAGGCTAAAACAGATATCGGCCCGACCGATAGGGACCTTTTGGTGCCGATACTGAAATTGGAGAAAGATAAAAATGTGATACCGATATAACGGCCGATATCTTTCTTAGCACTATGTCGATCCCTCAGTTATCAAACAAGTGCAGAAGACGAGATGATCACTCAACTGGAAAGTAACTGAGCATGTCACCGCTCGACTCTGCAGAGTGATGATGTTTGTTGTAATCCATACAGCGCCCCCTGCTGGTGACAGAGAACTGCTAGTGTAACACAAAGAAACTCAAATGAAATGATATCTGACTGGTGAATAACTCCGTAGCAT